ACCCAAAAGAACCTCTAATGGTGTTTGAATTTAACCGCGTTTGATTTGGTTTAAAGTCGAGCCCATTTCATGCATTACACACGGTGAGTCAGCTCGCCCACGATGAAGGTCCCTCTTATCCTTAAGCTAAGAGGGCAATTGAAAGTGGATTATATATGGATGATTTTGTGTACTCAGTCGATAGCGTGGAGGAGGCCACCCTGACCACCGCCGAGGTTATAAAGCTCATGAAATCGGGTCAATTCGATCTTTTCAAGTGGACTAGTAATTCGCGTCCGGTTTTAGACACAATCCCACTATCACACCATCTTTCGGCGATAAAGGAATTCCACGATTCTGATACGCACAAGGTGCTCGGTCTGTGTTGGTCACCAGAGTCCGACGTGTTTAGCCTTAAGGTAAACCCGCCGGTAGAGAAGTGCACAAAGCGCACAATACTTTCATGCGTTGCTAGATTATGGGATGTCATGGGTTTCGTAGCTCCGGTGTTATTATACGCTAAGCTTTTGATTAAACAACTTTGGTTATGTGAATGCGATTGGGATGACTCACCGTCTGACAGCATTGTTCGATTGTGGCAGTTCGATTAGAGAGGAACTTCCTTTACTAAGAGAAATTAAAATACCACGTCATATAAACGTCGATAAAAATAGCGTTATTACGGTCGTTGGGTTTGCGGATGCCAGCGAGAAAGCTTATGGGGGAGTTGTATATTTCCACTTCCAGAATAATGGTAGAAATTCGATTAGCCTCATTAGCTCTAAGTCAAGAGTCTCCCCCCCGTAAGGTTGTCTCTCTGGCGCGCTTAGAGCTTTGCGCAATATTAGTCCTCACCAAGCTTATTACCGCAGTTATCAGCGCATGTAGGGACAGAGTTCACATAGAAAGGATATTTGCCTTTTCCGACTCCACCGTCGCTTTATGTTGGGTTCATTCTTCACCCCACCGTTGGGATACGTTTGTCGCGAACCAAGTGGCCAAGATCCAAGAGGAGTTAGGAACGCGGAACTTTTATCACGTGTCCGGTACGGAAAACCCTGCCGATTGCCTATCCCGTGGACTCACCCCGATGCAAATAATGGACCATCCGCTTTGGTTCCACGGACCTTCTTGGGTTCACTTGGAACCCTCGCAATGGCCAATAACCGATTTCGACCCTTCGTCAGTGTCACAACCGCTGGAAGAGAAGAGGCACGCTCTGGTGGCGAGCGTTTCGAGCGAGGTTTCTCCAATCATTGCTTTGGCGAACCGCTTGTCCTCTTGGTCGAAATTATTGCGTAGCGTAATTTACGTTTGTCGATTCGCGAAGCTTTTACCGCGTCCGATTACAACTATGCCGAGTTGCTGGTATTGCGTGAACTTCAACGTGCACATTTTTCCGAAGAAATTACAAGATTACAATCGAATAGAGCTTGTAGTCGCGCTTTTCAACGCCTTAAGCCATTTTTACAAGATGGGATCGTCAGGGTAGGTGGACGCTTGTCCAACTCGCAGTTGAGTTTCGACCAACGGCACTCTATACTTTTACCGCGTAAAGACCATATCATGAATTCCGCACTTGTTATTGGATTCTTTCCGCACGTAACTTAATCCGTAATCGAGTGCACAGATGTATAGGTTGCTTTCGGGTAGGTCCCAAGCCGTCATTTCCGGAAATGGCGGAACTTGGGTCTTGTCGAGTAATACAATCCGTAAAGCCCTTTACACATACCGAGTCTGATCTTGCTGGTCCGTTTAAGATCACGCTCACTCGCGGGCGTGGTATAAGATCCACAAAGGCTTACGTCTGCATTTTTGTATGTCTAACTACTCGTGCGGTGCATATAGAACTTGTTGGTGATCTAAGCACAGCAGGCTTTATGGGTGCGTTTAAAAGATTTCTTTCCCGCCGTGGCCCTGTAAGTAAATTGTATTCGGATAACGGTACGAACTACGTCGGTGCGAAACGTATTTTATCAGAACTACATGAGCTCTTAGCTAGCAAATATTATAATTCGGAGTACGCTCACATTCTAGCCGAGAACCGCTTCGAGTGGTCTCTGAACGTCCCAGCCGCGAGCCATTTTGGGAGCAATTGGGAGACTAATATTAAGAGTCTAAAGAGTCACTGATGATAGTAATAGGAGATCAAATTTTGTCCTTCGAAGAGCTAAGTACTGTGCTCGCTCAAATTGAGTGCGTAATGAATAGTCGCCCACTTTGTCGTACGTTTTCTAGTGACCCCTCGGAGCCGCTGGCTCTAACTCCAGCACATTTTTTGAATTTAACGCCTTTGAAGTATTTGCCCGCCGTAGATATGGACGAGAACAAACTTAGCATTTCCGTACGCCATAAATTATTAGACCGGTTAGTGCAATCGTTTTGGAAACGATGGAGGATGGAATACTTGCATAGTTTGCAGTCTCGGCAAAAATGGAACACAGCAACTGAACCTTTAACAGTCGGAACTGTGGTTGTGCTCACCAAAGAGAATACGCCGCCTTTCCATTGGCCATTAGGGATTGTCGAAGAGGTTTTTCCCGGTTCCGACGGAGTAATTAGGGTATCTCGCGTTAAGACCACGGTTGGGTCTTACATGCGTCCTGTTGTCCGTTTGTGCCCCTTGCCTCTTCCATAGTATAAGTTAGCTTTCTAGATTAGAAATTGTAGTCGAAATTCAGGTTTAATCTTAGCTATAGTTAGTTATTTTGTTAGTTTGATCTTAGCTTTAGTTGTTTTTGTTATTTTTTGAAGGAAATCTTTCAAGCCGGGGGGGGATGGTTGCGCGGAAAACCATTCGTAATTTTAATTTATTCGACGGTATTCTTGCCAAGATTTGTCCTTCCTTCGACCTTTCCTTCATCTGTTGTCCCTATTGACACACCGGGGTGGTGGGATGAGAGGGGAAAGAAGATAGTTCTAGAATGTCACTTGATCTTCGCAACCGAAGTAATATAAACGCGCGCACGGCCTACGTGCGCTCTCTTTCTTCCCTTTGGCCGCTAGTTGGAACCACACCGCCTAGGACAGTAGCGTCCTAGAGGATTCTTGCCCACGCGCACCGCTAGTTCAACCGCACCACGCCTGGAACAGTCGCGTTCCAGGAGTAACCGCCTCACCTCGTGTGAGACATAGTCGCGCACCGCTCTCTTCCATCGCATCACCGGACAGGAACGCATCTCTGGGGCCCCAGAGAATCCGCCAGAAGTCGCACCGCAGCAACAAAGCGCCCAAGCCGCATCGAAGCCACACCCCGGTGAGTAACTTCCAGTTACAAGCCCGCTTGACATAATTGTATTTATTAGTTAATCCGCTCCAATTTCATTTTCTCCTAGCGTGATCAAACGGGGTTCCTTCATAGACTTTGGCAAGCAATAGCTCGTTTAGGGAAAAGCGAGTGCATTGTCAGGAAAACCGCATGCTATAGTCGCCATTTTGTGGAGACAGAAGAAGCTATCCGCTTATACAGTCCATTTGGTGTAACATCTCGCGTAATAGGCTTAAGGCTCGACCGGGGAATTGGAATTCGGTAACCTTAGGCCCGTCGCTCAACCAACCCCAAAATTTATTCTATATGGAATTGTAAATACAAAACTGAAAAATTAGGTTATTATACTGAAAAAATATAAATTTTTTTCGTAATAAAATTGTATCAATTTTATTTGAATTTAAATAAAGACATATATAAAGTTATGGACCAATTGATTAATTGGACATTGTTCATAATGCTCGGGCAATATGAAGAAAGCCCAGTATGATAAAAATCATTGAAGTAATTAAATTAAGTTACTTGTTTTAACGTTACTTGTATAGAATAACAAGGTATTTTATAAATACCTAAAAAAATGAAATGAGCGAGTTATGGAAGAAACTAATGGATAAATTCGGGATGTGCACGCTGGATTTATAAAGGTAATGGGGTGTACGGATCAAGTCTTTTCCATGCGCATGATCACGGAGAAGTGTTTTACCAAAAACCAAAAAGTCTTTTGTGCGTTCATGGACTTGGAAAAGGCTTATTACAGAGTGGAAAGGGATGTGTTATGGCAAACTCTGAACTCATTTGGTTTGAGCAGTAGGTTGGTAGAATCAACCTATTTATAGACAGTCGTTTGGAAACTTTGAAAGTTAAAAAATATGGGATAAGAATGGGTGAGTTAAGCGTAAAATTCCTCGTATACGTATTTGACAGGCGTGAGTGTTTAACATATAAAAAATTCAGACAATGTATAAAATATTATTTATTACATTGTTTGCCTAGGTATTCTATATAATACCGATTGCTTAACCTGCAATGCATTGAATAAGAGGTAACGGAATAGCGGGAGTGCAGTTCACGGATTTTCTTAAGATTCTGATTTATAAAAATGACGTACCAAGTTAAGATATGACTAAACCTAACCTAATCAAATTAAGTTTTCGTGTTTTAGTATTGCTATTTTAATTACTTAATAAACGTCCTAACATACTACGGCTACCTCCAAATTAAAATTATTAATTTTTGTTCCGATCTACGCAGGATAAAATAACATCTCGAAGTCTTGCAGTTGTATGCTTGGGCTGGGATTTAATTTAATAATTATAGGATTCCAAGCAGATTGTAGCACCCAGCCATCTATTGTAATTAGAATATTTTTCGATTTCAATAGCCTCGGGAATCATCCTTTGAAAGATCGGTGTTCTTTAGCGAGGGTTTGTGGTCTATGAAACCTGATGTAGTGACGGGGGCAATTCTGTACGTGTTCACAAACTGCAGATTATTCATATTTTCTGGGCATCATAAACAGTGCTTTATTTAATCACTTGGTCCATAAAACATACAATTACGTCACGTTTATAAATATGATTTTATAAGTACAATATCATCTAAGTGCATTAAAATATTCTTAACTACACAGAAAATCCAACAACAGTTCCACAAATCACAATTAATATTTTATAAAATATATAAATATATAGACACAATATACCGTACGTTATTATTTTTAGCCAGGATTGTCTTTTAATCGCCTGCTCTGTACCTAGAAGAAGTCTTTGATGATATACTTGCGAACGCCGAAAGCCCAAGTCACGACCAGTTGTTTAAAGTCTACGGTCGCCATATCGCAGTTGAAAACTTCTTGGTCGTATTTCGACATATTATTATAAACCTTGAGAACGTTGTCGTCTTGGAAATTCCAATTATTTATCTTATAATATTTTGTTATGTTTGATAGTTTGTAAACTTTTTATATATTTTTGTAAGTCTGAAAAAAATTTTTAATTATTGCATGTGTCAAGCAAAAAATATAACAAATAAATTTTAAATACTCGTACTTACATTGGTTGCTTATTCAATAATTTACAAGCACTATCTACAAAGAATGCAGGTATGAAATGCAAGAACAAAGTACATATTAAATGAATGACTTCGTTTGTTGTTTCTATTACGAAACAATACCAGATTGTACGTGGCGAAACTAAATTCCTCAAATGTATATTTAAAACTTTACTTAAATCTTCTGAAATGTAATATAATACATAATATAAGTATATATCAACAGTGTTTCCCTCAGCCTTGAGACAGCTGTCGATGAATAGCAAAAGGTTTGGCTTGCTTATAGTTTTTATTTTGCAGTGCTATTTGATGAATTATAAAAAAAAATTATATATATATATATATAATTTCAGTGCTATTTGGAAGTTCGCAATATCAATGCTGCTTTTGAAGAGGATACGACTAGAGAACGCTTTGCGCTTTTTTTGATGCAATGATTAAACCTAAATCAAATATCGGAATAATCAGAAGCTTAAAGCGAATCTCACCTATGAAAAGTAATGTAAGCATTTTGAGATCCAGTGTATTAATAGCCTATTAGACTTTTTCGCTAATTTGAAAATTTCCTGCAAGGACATGAAATTGTTCTCAGGAAGCGGACAAAATTCCTTCATAGACTTGGAGATTTCCATCGAGAAGTTCTATCGGAACGATATGATTTGCCCTCGAGATTACAGTAAATACTTCGATTAATTAAATACATTTTTAAAAAAAATACATTTTAATTTTACAAAATAAACCGCCAATTTCATATTTTAACTCCAAAATTATTTGGTTGTTTTATTGACAGAGACCAGTGAGCAAGCAGCAAGCAATGAAAACGCTACGATTATAAACAATAATTTATTTTAAACTTACTCCAAAGCATGGGACTACGATTATTAGTGACATTGTAAATCTTAATATCGTCTTCGTTGGTCTGCTGTTTTGTAGTTTCCCAACCAGCAGCTATTACAGTGTTAACGACAATATCCACAGGTACAATACTAAGGACTATTTCTTGTTTTGCCACCAAAGTATGCAATATACCAGTTAATATGCCCAAAATAAGCTAAAAAAAAGAAAATATATGAGTAACAAGATTATTACATCTTTGTCGCATATACTGTTTCCTGTTCGGCGTTCTCTGTAAACCTTTAGTGAAAATGCATTCGTTCTATGTACATAAAGAGGTCATTGCAATTGAGCTTTCTGCTTTTCTTTGTTTATACGAAAATTATTATTTATGGTGAAATTAGTTACATTTAAGTTAAATAGAAAGTTATGAGATTTTAACCCATTGTTACCTCTTAGTACGTAATATAAAAAAGTATTTGTTACTGTTCTTAGTAAGCAAATTTGCAATGGGATTACAAGATCGACCAGACAGTTATAGGAAGTCATCAACACTCGTCTGAATAATTTTTATCAGGCCTATACGAAATTACGATATGCAACTTTTTTTCTGTTTGTTAAATTAAGTTAATTTCATACATAACCACGCGTGTTAACACTTCCTCAAACATGGCAGCACTTTCTAATTGGCTATGATGTCGATAATATATAAAATATGTAATTATTTAATTAATTTCTTGTACACAACTTTTATAACGAACACAAACCGATGTGTTGATCGATTCTCGTATGCGTGGCAGCATTTCAGCCCTTATTCGTTGCTACTTTCAGTTTTTATGAGTTGGCACTTTATGAGTTAACTAATTCAATCATCGTACATCTTTATGAGAGGAAATGCTGTCGTTCTTAGTACTAATTCACTATAATATTTATGATTATTTTAGTTTTAACTTTTTAATTATTTTAATAATAATATAATATTAATAGTAATAATTTTATTTCAGATACAAGCTCCATAATTTGTTAGTAATAAATAATATAAACTTAAAATTAATGTTAATAAATATACAACTAAAAAACAACAATGCTTATTTTATATTAAATATAATAGCTCTGGACCCCATATGCTCAGTGTTCCAGTGCCGCACTACCGGACAATCAAACCTACCTAATACAGTACATAGGAGTCCGTTGGCACTGTCTCGCACGCGTCGCATCAGGGAGGCCACTCTCTTCCGCATTATTGCATAAAAGCTGTCCGTGTTAGCCTCAACACACCTGATGCGCTTCAATATCGAGACAGCCCCATTAGCATCCTAAAGCCATTATTATATTGAACACGTAGAGCATTTATGTATCTGCGAGTATACTTGACCCACAGGCTGCAGGTGTAAAATGTTTGGCAGTACGCCTTAAAAAGGGTTATCTTGACAGCTTTTGTACACCTTGCAAACCTGGGAGCCAGCATGTTGCACCTCACTGCTAACGCTCTACGTTCTCGTTCAATATCCAAGTCATCAGAGAGGTCATCTGTAACCCAGTGCCCCAGGTAATTAAATTTGTTGACTCTACTTAAAGGTACTCCTACAAGCATGACCGGTGGGTTATCCTTGGGTTCTTTATTCCCTGCTTGAAAACAAGTAGTTCACTCTTTTTTGGATTTGTACCTGAGGCCATGGGCTTCCGCATATCTCTCACATAAATTTATTAATGTTTCAAGTGCTCTGATCGAAGGGCTCAGCAGCACCATGTCGTCCGCGTAACTGATGCTGTTTACGAAGTTACCATCTATTGAGCATCCGACGCCAGTTCTGCTAAGCTCATCGATCAATCCATTTATATATAGGTTAAAGAGCCTCGGTGAAGTTAAGCCCCCCTGTCTCACTCCACATTCAAACCTATATTCACTGGAGTATGAACAACCTTACATTATTTGATTGGTTGTGGTACCAATACCTTAATATATCGACTATCTCTGTAGGCGTACTCGTTTCCCTCCGAAGCTTATCCCATAATAGGTTGTACGAGACCAGGTCAAATGCCTTCGACAAGTCCAAAAAACAGGCGTAGACAGGCGTTTTTCTCGTAATATAATACTGGACGGTATGCTTGAGTCGCAAGATTGCAGTTTCAGTGGACAGTTCAGGTATAAACCCAAACTGTGCCTCATGTACCTATTTTTACTTATTCGACGTTCAAGCAAACCATCCAATACTTTGGCTATTACAGTAGCTAGCGAGATCGGTCTATAATTGTTCTTGTCGTAGCATCCCCGGTCTTATTCTTTAGAACTGGTACCACTATGGTCTTCATAAGTTCCTGAGGTAAGTATTCTATACATGCATTATAGAGCATAGTCAACACCCTAGGCAGATGAACTTCCGCATACTGCAGGTGCTCAATACTGAGGTCATCATGTCCAGGTGATTTACCACGTGTCATATTATTTATGACATTTGCGACTTCTTTCGCAGTAAATCTGGCAGATTCACTGCATGATTTCTCCTCAATATCGAACACCCGCTGCACCGGTCCCAATGGAGATTCCACTTTGAAGTGTTCCCTAAAAACTTCTGCGATATGATGGGGCTCACTCTTACCATCAATACTCGCAGGTAAGCATGATGCAGTTTCCAGCTTCTTTGTTTGTTTCCAAAAACTCTTAAAATCTTTTTCTTTGTGGTGAGCAGCCAAAATATCCATTTTTATTTGGTACTCATTGTCTTGACACCACTTAAGCTTTGACTTAAAACACCTCCTAGCTTCTCGCATTCTGTCATATACATAACCCGCACTGGGCTTACCATACAGTAACCACATTTGGAAAATGCATCGTGCCTCCTGATGGACCTCCCGTAAGTACCTATTCCACCCAACAAGCAGTTTGTGTTTACTACGCTTTCTTATCTCATAGCTAGTTTCAGCATCTTCTCTTAAGATGTAAACAATATTATTATACAATCTATCAATTACAGTTCTATGATCTACATTTTTACACACTTTATCCGCACAAAAACTAAATTCTATTGGATAATCAATATTTCTTAAATTATTATGACATATTTTACTGTTTATTATATTGTTAATTTGATCGACGCCCCTCTCACCCCACTTCACCTTGTTACAACATTTTTCTTTATATTGCGTTTTAAATGACAGATTACCTATCTTAAAATCTACTTCCAGTGGAAAATGATCTGACCAATAAACATCAAGGCATACCTTACAATTTGATACACATCGCCAAGGTACCTCTGTTACCAGACAGTGATCACGCCATCTTCGGCAGTCCTTTTTAATGTCACTTATATAAGTGTATGTGTCTGATGTCATTTTTAAATGGACCACGTCTGCACAGAGCCACCTCCGCTCCTCACAGAAATTGGATAACTCATTATAGAATAATTCTCCGGGATGCGCATTAAGATCACCGAGAATAATTGCAGATTCAATTTCGCAACTCTCGATTACAGCGTCTATTTCACTTAACACCTCTGTAAACTCAATTAAATTATCTTGATTGTCTGTAGGCATATACACCGAAAAAACCAGGAACAAACGGTTATTCGCACATATTTTAATAGCTGTCAGTCTAACACTATTACACGGAACGATTGTAACTGACGAAAACACACTTTTCTTCCACATTATCGCCACCCCACCATAGGGTCGCCCATGAAGCATGCTGGTTGATGTGTCTACCGCTGACTTGCTCGTGAATTCAAAGTCACTGTCAATATTCCCTATATATGCAATGTCATGCGGTAATAACCATGTCTCCTGAAGAGCTATTACGTGTGCCCTCTTGCATAATTCCCTCACCCCGTCCACTGATCTCGTTACTGACTTGCAATTAAAACTAATAAGTTTTATACTGTGATCATCATTTATGTCCATACTATACTTTTTATTAACTTTTACCACCAGCCTCACTCAAGCCCGTAGCAGGTAATTTCCTGTCATTAAAATTAATAAATCGCCGAAACGATATACCTTTAGGCCAAAGATTCTTGTCCAGGAACATTTCCGTCATATGCCGGGGAACAAACACTTTATAAGACTTATAATCATTTTGACGTTTCATTTTAATTCCCACCAACTGTACAGCAACATTTGTTTTGCCTAAAATATAATCGGCAATGTTCTGGGTTGAAGTCTCTTTATCAACATTGTTTATAAACAACGGTATTCTTATATTTGCTGCCTTAAATTTACCCGTAGGATCCTTCGACTGCCCCTGTAACCCAATAAATCTGTTCCTAAGTCTTTTCCTCTGCACCGTAATCCATTCTTCATCCCTTTTATTCAGAAATTCGCCCCCTCCCCGTACTACTTGTGAGAATGTACTCCGTTCGTTAAGCTTACTCACTGGCAGAGTACCGCTCGCTCGTTCCGCTACACCTGTAGTTGAGGCCACCAGAATCTGCGCGCACGCATTATTTTCGGACTGCGTCTGTGCGGAAACCGCGGTACTCGTAGAGGCCTCCACGCGCATGCCCTTATCTATTATGTTTGCTTCAGTTGCTGTTGATTGCCCGGCAGGGACAGGTGCAACCGTAAGTGCATACTGACTCATCGTGTGCGACGCATCCAGCCGACATTGTGAGTCACACTGAGTCACTGTATTATTCTCAGCTATTGTAAATGCCGTTTGATTTGAAGTAGCCGTTTTTTCTACCTCCAAGTTTATAAAACCAAATGACCCGCTATCCGATTCAAGGTTATCGTAATGTACTAAATTACTCGTGCCTCTTTTCTTATTTAAGGAATGTTTAAATTGGTAATTATTTAACAGTGAACCTTGCTTCATGTTATCGATCTCCATTTTTAATTTGTTAATTTGCTCAACTGTAGCGTACTGCTCTGTTATAACTTGAACCTGATCTTTTAGGATAATTATGTCTTACAGTAATTTCGTGACATCGACATGGTCAAATGTAACCGGTGGTAGTTTTCGTAGCTCTCGGGCTACGAATATGGGGATTAGTTCTGCTGATGTACACTTGATAAGGGATATAATGTCCTCGAGATCCCGCTGTATTTTTCCATCTGCTTTGCCCTTTCTCTTTATCCTTTTCCCTGAAGTTTGCACAGATTGATATAGTAAGTCTTTTGCAGCCGCAATCTCTTCAAGAGAGAACGCAGTTGTACACAAGCGAACTATGCTTTCTTCATTCATCACATCTACTTGATTCTGAATAAATGTCAAAACATCAC